CCCTGAGTTCTTCTCTCTGCCTGGAAGTCCCGCCTAACTTCTCCTGCCTAGCCATTGGTTGTTCAGCTTTTTATTAAACCAATCAGGAACCTTAGGCAGTCAAGGTAAAACAGTGACACATCTTCACACAGTGTGATCAAGCAGACCACAACAAAAAAAAATACCTCTACGTGGTGGGAATGTTTAATACATGGCTTTTCAGGGCTTGGAAGTCATTTCTGTCCATCTCTGTCAAAATGATTCTCTTCCCTTGGACCTTGGCAAATATCTGCTAGGTGGATTCTTTGATATCAGAGGTCAACACAGCACTTTCAGAGCACAGTAGCCCTGACCTCCTCTGGCCATGGGCACCATGAAGGTGCCAGTAGATGGGCACACACCTGGACCCTTCATGTCTCTTTCCTGCCAACTGCCTCTTTCAACTCAGCTCACCCTGCTTCTGCAGCACTGTATTCAGGACCCCCAAAATAAAAATTTCACTAAATGTGATTGATATTTGCCTGAAATTTAAACACACACAAGCATAGAGACAGAGTCAGGATTAAAGGCTTGCCTCACTTCATAGTGAGTTCAAGGCCAGCTTGGACTGCATGTGATCCTGTCTCAAAAGAGAAAGAACAATTAGCTAGGTACCATAGTGTATTCCTGTAGTCAGTCTCAAAACTTAGGTGATAAGGGCTAGGGCATCAGTAACTCAAGGTCATCCTTGGTCACACAGACAGTTCAATACCTGTCTGGACTACAAGAGACCCTATCTGAACTTTTTCTTCTTCAGGAAATTTCGTACTGGAGTGAGATTAGCTGGAATCCCTGGAGCCTGATGAGGAATGGCTGGGGGTGGATCTGCAGAGGGGTGACTGTCTCCAAGGAATATATTTTGGGAAATAAATCTTTATATGTGTATTTTCTGGGTTTTTATACATCCTCTCTATAAATTGTAACACTACTGCTGGCAAAGTTGGGAGAAACAGAGTTCTGGCCCAAACTGTGACTAAATCCTGTTCCTTCTACTAATTCTCGATTGCTAGGATTTTGGTAAAGTGAGGAGCATAGGGCTTCACATTCCAGCTTCTTTACCCCTAAGGGCCCCTAACCCACACCCTGAAGAGGGAGATCCAGACTTTTCTCCCTTATGTTTACTTGTCTAATTTGTAGATAAACCTTTGCAAAGCCAGTGAACTCTGCTTGTTATGGACAGGACTTATGATAGACATAGCAAAAGCACAGCACCGATCCAGTAACCAGACGGGAGTTTAGGCGGCAACAGGCTGGTCAGAGCAGTGGCACACTCTGAATGAAAGCTTTGACCGGGGGAACAGGTGACGACGTTAGGCTCAAATCTGCGAAGTCTCCGCAGAAGCCAATAAGGAAACCGAGTCCCGTATGTAAAAGTTAAGAACCTTTATTTTAATCAAGTTTGCACACTTGGTTTTTACAGTAGTAAAGGTGGGGGTGAGGGGTGTCCTGGTGAGGTGCTCAGGTAGGTGATCCTATCTACAGCAGTAGGAATGTTAGGCATTTTCTTTGAATGGTCTGCTCCTGGGCAGTGGTCAGGTAATCTCAGCGTGTGGTTCCTCCTGCAACCAGGTATTGCCTCAGGGTAAACTACTGAGACTCAGACCTCTTTCTTATTAAATTTATTGAGGGCCGAGTTCTACTCTGGCAGGTGATAATGGTTGGAAATAAAGAACTTCCTTTGGGTGGCCTGTTCATACTTAGTTTATCATGGCTGGCCCCCACAGACAGCTTTCTCCAAGTACCCTGGGTCACTCTCCAATTCCCAGTTCTGGCAGAGGACTGTCTGGTGGAAAGACCTGGACCTACTTCTGAAATAGGAACTTTTTTTTTTTTTTGAGGCAGGATCTCATGTAACTCAAACTGGTCTCAGACATACTTGGTAGCCAAGGATGACTTGTGACTTCTAATCTTCCCTCCTCTGCATATTGTCTCAGGCTACAGAAATGAGTCTGTATGCCCTCTTTAGACAGGGCTTCATGCTTGCTTGGCACGCACTCTGCCAACTCTACCAACCAAGCGCCCTTCCACAGAAACGTTTAGAAAAAGCAGCCTAGAGGCTTCATAGAGGCCTCCCTGAGAGAGCACAGGAGGTTCTCTGGCTGTGGACTTCCGGGCAGTCTCCACCCTGCCGTTCACCCTTTATTCTTCGCTTTCCTACTTGGGCTTGGTTTATGTTTTCAGTAAAGGCTGGTGCAGTGCTTCTCAACCTGTGTCTTGCAACTCCTTTGGGGTCCAAAGCATCTTTCACAGGCGTTGCATATCAGATATCCTACATAGTAGGTATTTACAGTATGATAAAGTAACAAAATTACAGTTACAAAACAGCAATGAAAATAATTTTATGGTCGGGAGTCACCACAACCCGAGGAATTGTATTAAAGGGTCTCAGCGTTAGGAAGGTTGAGAACAACCAGGCTAATGGTTCTGGCTGCTTCCCCGCCTTGGCCTCAACTTTCTCTCAATTGGGACAGCTCTTTTCCAAATCGCTACCTGCAGAGCCAAGTACCTCCAAAATCCTGAGAGGTGGGAGGGAGAGAGGGAGAGGGGAAAAATAAAGAGAGAGAGAGAGAGAGAGAGAGAGAGAGAGAGAGAGCTAGCTGACTGGCTCTAGTTCGGCCAATGACTCCTGAGGCTTCTCGTTATCCAAGACCTTTATATTGCCCGCCTGATTTGTTGGTGTGGACAGCTCCTTCTAGGGCTGCCCTCCTCTAGTCTGGCTCCTCCCAGGAAACACTCCTTGGTCCACTTCCCTTCAAAGTATTTGTACTTGGAGGATGTGGATGTGGCTCAGTTGGCACAACACTTGCCTAGCGTGTGTGAATACTATGAGAGATGCCCACCGTTGTTCTCCAGTGTCCTCCCGCTGGGTCCCCTACAATATAGTTCAATTCTGCCTCTCTTTCCCTGGATTTAGAGTTAGATCTTGAAGGTTAAGAGCTCCTATCTCTGCCTAGATGATTTTATTATTGTTGTTGTGTATATCTGCGTGAGTTGGCCGTGTGGGTGTGCCACAGCACAGATGCTCAAAGCCAAAGGTCAGAGGACAATTTTTGCAAACCCAAGTTTTTTCCCTTGTACCACAGGTTCTGGAAGTCAAACTGAAGATGTCAAGCTTTCGTAGCCATCTCTCAGGCCCCTTCCTCAGCTCTGCTAAGGATAGACTCTCAGAACCAGGTAAATGCTTAGAGACGGGGATGGAACAAAGAAGGTAGATGAATGGCCAGGGGGAGAGATACAGAGGCCGGGTGTGGGGACAGCAGGGCACAGACCCTTTGTGTCTTCTTCCGGGCCTCTCTCCCAGCATCTCCTGTGCTCAGTACCTGAAAGGTCCAAGAGCTTTACCTTCCCCGAGGTCGTGGGAGTGGAAAGTTTAAACTGTTCACTTAAATAGCCGTCCTGGTTACTGGTATCGTCCCGAGGCCCTCTGGGGTCCCCCACCTAAGTCACAACTGGAGTGTAAATCTCAAGTATTATCAGAGAGCTGCGTTGTAAGTAATGGAACACACTCCGCACACCTAGGGTTTTGTGAGTTCTGTGACATAAACTAGGAGGAAAGATAGTCTAAAGAGACACTTATGCTGTGAGAGCATTGAGACAAAGGTGCCCAGAACTAGAACTCTCTCGGGAATCTCATGCTGGTAAAAGGCTGAAGCTCAGTGCTCATCAGAAGAGGAGCTTGTCTCCATAGGAGAGATTTCAAACAGAGCCAAGAAGTTCTGATAACTTGTCAGGCTTACCCTGCAAGAGAGATGAGCTGAGATAATGGTGGGTCAGTAGTGGGCAGTACCACATCCTGGACCAGGAGTGCTTAGTTTTACCCACCTCTTGCCCTCTGTTTAAACCTAGACCCCATGTCAGGATCTAGAAGGTGGACTTGGGAGGGTCACTTGATCTCTTTGTCCCTCTACACAGTGTGGCTATAATGAATGTGGTGGTCTGAGTAAAAGTGGACTCCATAGACTCATGGATTTGGTCACTAGGGAGTGGCAGTATTTGAAAGGATCAGGAGGTGTGGCTTTGTTGGAAGAAGTGTGTCACTGGGGGTGGGCTTTGAGGTTTTAAAAAGCACATTCCAAGTCCAGACTCTCTCTCTCTTCCTGCTGCCTGTGGATCCAGGTGTAGATCTCTCAGCTACTTCTCCAGTACCATGTCTGCCTGTGTGCCGCCATGTTCCCCACCATCATGACAATGGACGAAACCTCTGAACTATAAGACAGTTCCTGTTAAATGCTTTCCTTTATAAGAGTTGTCGCGATCATGGTGTCTCTTCACAGCAATAGAACATTGACGAAGATAATAAATAAACCTCCCTTTTCTGTTTTTTGGTTATTACTTTTTTTTTTAAAAAAAAAAAAGATAATAGGCCTGTTGACGATGACTGGTTTAGTTGAGTTGGCTAGGGATGCCAGGGCCCATCTAGGTTCTGATTCTTAATTTTTTAAGGTTTTATTACTTCACGTACATTCACATTTTGCCTGTATGTATGTCTGTGAAGGTGTCAGTTCCTCTGAAACTAGAGTTACAGGCAGCTATGAGGTACCATGTGCTGGAAATTGAACCGGGTCCTCTGAAAGAGCAGCCAGTGCTCTCAACCACTGAGCCAGCTCTCCATCCCCCGCCCCAGGTTCTGATTCTTAAAACTCCAATATCAACACTTTATCTCAGCCCCTAGTCAGTACTCGGATGCTCGAGAACAGAGGCCCTGACTGTCTTCCATGGAGCCTCCACCATCATTTGAAGACACTGAACTTCCTGGACAGTCAACTGACTGTCACCCAGGGCTTGGAAAGTGATAAGCAGAGTTCTCAGAGAACAGACCCTGAGGCCTCTGAGAAGCGATCATCCGCGGGTCCACTGAAGAGCAGTTTCTGGGCTTCTGGCTGGGGCTGCAGGAGGCCTGTGGGAGTGGATGTTCCTGAGACAGAGGACAAAGTCCTGTAATAAATTACGTATACCCACAGTGCTTAGCCACTTCCTCTTGGAGCCCTTCTACGTCTTCTGTCCTTTCTCTCCTATACTACCCAAAGCTCGGAACCTGTCTCCCTACCTGAATCTTTCAGGTTCCCAGGGTGGAGGGACAGAGAGTCAATAGGACCCCCATACTCTGATCCTGACAAGGTAAGAGAGTCCTGGGATACGTGCAAGGAGGGATTCCAGGTAGGAGGTGGGTCTGGAGACACAGACCTGGAAGCAGGGTGGGGCAGGCCTGCGGAGCAGAGGGCTGGGATGCTCCTCCAGACCTAGGAAACCCAAAACCTCAGTTCAGCGGGTAATAGGGCAACTGATGTGGGCAGCAGGCTTACACTGGGAGGCTGAGAAGGGTGAAGAAGGGCTATCGAGTCCTATGCTACAGGAGGGCAGGCACTGCTCAGGGAAGCAGCCACTGCTGCTGCCTTCTGTCTAGTCCTCTCTGCTGGAAGGCCTCCCAGGAAATCCAAGGGGCTGAGGATAGCACAGGTACCAGGCTGAGGCCCTGCTGTGCCGTATGAGGAAGCCCACTGTATTTGTGAGATATTCTGGTGATACTGCCTCCATTTTATGGGCAAGAGACTGAGATCTGGGGCTGAGGAGCCTCAGCAAAGAGCACAGCTGATCTTGACTTCCACCTGGGTTCATCCACTTGATCCACAGAGACAGGTTACTGTGTTTAGTCAACTCTGGGGAGCTAAGGCACTGGTTTGTGGCAAGACAGGCAGTCACTGGCTTCCAGAGCCTTCTCAAGGTTTGCGTGTTGGGTGAATGAGATGGTGAAAGAGATAGATACAAGGTTATAGACATGTCAGTTTTGGGATTGGTGTGTACCATCCCCATCATGGAGGAGGAAATTGGAGACAGAAGTCAGTAGAGACCGGCTGAGGTTTGGTAGCTGGCAGTGTTGGGGTCCCCACCCTGAGTCCCCTAAGTTGGGTGCGTGTGTTTCCAATTCCTAGGCCCTCACTCAGGATCTGCTTTATATCTGTGGGTGCCAACTTTGTTCTAACTCGTAAGACCTCTGGATTGTGTTCAGGATTGTAGCTTTAAGAAAAAGAAAGTCATGAGGATTCTGAATCTCTCATGCTTGCCCAGTAAGCGCTTTACTGACAGAGATATCTCCCCAGCCCTCCCTCGTGTTTGAGCCCCGATAAAGCTCACTCCGTTGGTACTGCTTGCTCTTTGGGATTTCCAACAAAAGCACGAGGGGACAAGTGGCATCAACACACCTGACGCACGCATCAGCCAGCCTCTTCTCTGACACTGTTTGGTCTGAAACCCCCAGAACTGTCTCTAGCTCCTAGAACAAAGCAGGGACTCAAGCAGGAACTGATGGAAGTTTTCGGGTATCATCCTATTAATTTAATCTGAGCCCAGAAGGTACCCCAATTTCTAGGTTCCATGTCCCAGAACAAAGAACTGGACCAGGGACACATGGATAATGATAGAAATGGGGACTGTTTATTAAGAAAGAGAACGACACTCTTACAAACACTTGCATTATTGAAAGGTAACAAAACAGTGGCTTTATGTAGTTTTCATATACAACAGTAACAGAACAGGATTAAAAATAAACAGGAAGCTGGGTAGTGGTGGTGCACACCTTTAATCCCAGCACTCGGGAGGCAGAGGCAGGCGGATCTCTGTGAGTTTGAAGCCAACCAGGTCTACAAGAGCTAATTCCAGGACAGGCTCCAAAGTTATAGCAAAACCCTGTCTAGAAAAACTAAAACAAACAAACAAACAAACAAACAAGGAGAGTAAGAGAAAGAAAAATTCAAGGTAGGAAAATACAGTGTAACTGGGCAAAGAGAATGGAAGTGGGTCGGAGAGCTGGGAAAGGTCCCAGGCTCCAAGGCCCTGAGCCGCAAGTCTCCATCTCTCATAGGTCATTGTAGCCTCTGCCTTACCTGGAACATGGAGATTCCAGGGCCTTTCTTAGCATCTTCTTCACTGTTCCCTCTCTTCTTTTCTCTTTCCTCTCCCGACTTGTTTCCTTGTGCCCCTGCTGGGAACCCTGTCTGTTAGGCTAAGAGGCTCTGGCTTCTCACCACTTTGCCGAGCTTTAGTTCTCCCAAATATGGAATGATGATAAAAAGCGTTTTATATGTATGTATGCATGTATGTATATACGTATATGTATATACATACACGCATACATACAAAAATGATTATCTTGCAACTAAAAGGAATATTGTACCTGTAACTCTTGAACTAATAAATTCCTTAACAGCAACAACTTGGGTGTGGCTCAGTTGGTAGGCTGTTTGGCGCGCATGAACTAAACCCTGGGTTCAGTCTCCCTCAGTGTATAAACTGGATGTGGTGATGCATGCCTGTAATCCCAGCACTTCAGAGAAAGAAGGAAGATCAGAAGTTCAGTTATCGTTGGATACAGAGTGAGTTCGAGGACAACCTAGAATCCATGAGGCCCTATCTCAGAATAGATATAGATATAGATGGATGGATAGATAGATGATAGATAGATGATAGATAGATGATAGATAGATAGATAGATAGATAGATAGATAGATAGACAGATAGACAGACTAGGTAGGGAAAGAAAAGGAAAGAGGAAAGAAAGCAGGAAAACCTGCTGTGATTCTTCCCTCCGCAACAGCCTTCCCCATATCCTGGACCCTGGCTCTGGAACCATGTGGAGAACAGGCAATCTCTGATGACCCAGATAGCTTCTGTGACTTACTCGGTCTTGTCCGGCCACAGATGTCCTTTTTGCCCAGAGAATACTCATTCCCTTTGGGGAGGCAAAACTCTGTTATCCTTGGGACTGGAATTTCACAGGCCAGGGTCAATGCTGGATTTTCTTTTTGGAGGCAAGAGGTCTCCGAGAAGAGCACAGGTTCTGTAGCTTACATGACAGAGTTCCCCGCATGCTTTGGGAAAGCCCGCAGCACATAGCACCCCCTTCCCTCAGCACTCTGGTCTCCTCCCAGCCCATTTCACAAGTGTATTTCTGCTGCTCAAGAGCTGTGACATAGTGTGGTAATTCTGTGGAAAGCTTTGGGAGCCAGAAGTTCACACTCCATCCCCTCGAGGACAGTCACCATAGAATGGCTCTTCGGGTTAACCGGGATGATGAACCCATGCGTTCAATTCCATTTTTTTTTCAGAGTTTACAAGGGGGCCTGGCCTATGATGAAAACCTCATATTCTCAAAGAGCAGAGAGTTTCAAGTATAATAGTGTTCCCTCATCTGCCTTTCTGAGAAGATCTATGTATGTATGTATGTATGTATGTATGTATGTGTGTATGTATCCATCCATCCATTCGTTCATTCGTTCACCCACCATCCATCCATCTATCTATCTACACCAGTGTATTCATTAATCTGCTCTCTTACTCACCTCAGTCCATTTGTCCATCCATCCATTCGCTGGTCCGTGTGTTCATTTAGGCAGCAGACTGATACACAGTGAGTTCTCAGGTCTCACACAATCGTGGGAGAGCCATGCACAATGCCATATAAAAACAGGCCCAAGGGGGGCTGGAGAGATGGCTCAGTGGTTAAGAGCATTGCCTGCTCTTCCAAAGGTCCTGAGTTCAATTCCCAGCAACCACATGGTGGCTCACAACCATCTGTAATGAGGTCTGGTGCCCTCTTCTGGCCTGCAGACACACACACAGACAGAATATTGTATACAATAAATAAATAAATATTAAAAAAAAAAGGCCCAAGGGCTAAAGCAGAAAATGGAAGCTTCTGTGTGTAATGTGACTAGGTCTGTTTGTGTATGTGCATGAGTGTGTGTTCCAAACCCAGGTCAAACACAGAGACATGAAGATAAGAGAGAGCGTGAGGTATTTCAAGGCCTGCGTTAAGTTCAGGGTATCCTGTGTGCAGGGGTGACTTGTAAGATAGACTATAAGCTAAAAAACTAGGCAGGTTATGATACTGAAGAGTCTTAAAAGACAACTGGGGTGTTCAAATATGTGGGTCTCTGGGGCCCATTCTTATTCAAACCTCCACTTTCCACTCCCTGACCCCCATCAACTTGTTTGAGAAATTTGCCTGTTCCAGCCTTTCCATCTGGAATTACAGGGGTCTACCCAGTTTCTACCCTGATACTAAAAGTTATATTTTGTGATTTTCTTAATTTTATTGAAATTTTTGTTTGTTTGTTTTTTGGTTAGGCTTCTGGTTGTATTGAATTTTTGGTTTTTGATTTCTGGAGGGGCTAGTTGTACCAATTTCTGGTCTACATTTTAAAAAATCATTTTTTCTCCTCTTACTTAGTAAGATTATCAGTTACTTATTACCAACAAGATCAGTTATCAAGAATTACAATTACAATATCTATCCATTTGTATTTGGCAAAATTAGGGAAAATATTTTGTTATCTATTTTATCTTTGTGACTCTAAAGTTTTATACCTAATTTACTTTTTATAATAACTAAGCAAACTTTAACTATGACTATCTAGTCTTCAGCTCTGTCAAAGATCTCAGAAGGGTGAAATGTTACCTAGTGATAGGGACATCTGGCTTCCTGGACAGTCGCACTAGGTTCTTCTGTAGCTTTGGGGAATCGAACTTTGGCCTACAGGCCTGATAGATCTGACAGACTTTTCTGAGAAGCAGGGAATTTTGAAGTACTGTCCTACCTTGTCTTGGCAAAGTTTGACAGTCCCTTTCTTTTGTGCCCTGATGGTCAAGTTTGGACAATATATTGTCAACAATTGAGGCAAGGGCAGGTTTTTTATTTTTTTCATCAATGGCTAGCTTTTGCCATAAAGAAAGTAAACTCCATATGGAGGGTCTTCAATGCCCATCATCTTCTCTGAAGTAAACTGGTGCTGTTTGGAGCAGACATGTCTCAGTGTCATTAAAAGTCTTTATTATTAAAACATTTTAAATGTCATATTCTATATGTCTTTGAAGCGTTTGAAGACCATATCTGTGTATGACCTTGAAAACATACCTAACATGACTATAAGTTTGATTATTATAGATTACTATTAACCTGTATTTCTTAATTATATACTATATCTTAAAATGAGCTGTATAAACATAATACTTCAAACAAGAGTAGAAATATACATATAGTATAACAAAATTAACTTTAAATTTGTATCAATATACAAAAATCTATACCAATGTAAATATTTAAGACTAGAAGCTACTCTTTT